TAGATTTAATTTTCTACATTTATCGCCTTCAATTTGTTACACATCACAATCTTTCTCATCTTCTTTTTTAGTAGAACTTCACATATCAGTCTATATTTATTATATTTACATTAATTCATCTTAATATACATATTACTTCAAGAGATATTTACTACTCTCTATTTTCAAAGTACAACTATAACATTGAAAATTTACTAGATAGGAGATATCCTAAACTTTGTGCGTAGCTTATATAGATATATCTTTGGGAAACAATACCAATTACCATTAGGTTTCACCACGTAGAGGTGGCTACGCATCAAGAATCAGACATGCGCCCTAGTGGCACATCCTACTGACGCTACCTGTGTCAAAGGTACCTTAATCTAACTTGGAGCGAAAGAGATTAAAGCGAAGCTACCGACACTTCATTAAATATCATCTTACAAAAGGGGTTTCGATTCGATATACTGTAATTTAATACAACGCAATCACAGAAAAACTAAGTTAAATTCGCGACGCTCCCGAACGAGTTCGCGATTATTCGAAAGACCGACTAGCCTACGCGACGCACTCCCGAGTACAAGGCAACTCCCGACCACAGCACCCTCCGGATCAGGCCTTGCCCACCCTGCCACCGCCGACCTCGCCATGGCTTACTCGATGACCTAAGGCAGCCAACGAACCAGCGAAACACCAGAGGCAATCTGAGGGTCCTATGCGAGGCCTAACAGTCGGAATCACGCGCATGCTCCATACCCCAGCTCTATGCAAACATAACCACATAGCCGCTAAATGCCAATGGGGCAGGCAGGCACACTCTTGCAATGATTCCGACTGCAGGTCCCATCCTCCGGTCGTGTGCACGGATTGGCACCCAGGACGACTAAGGTCGACGGACCCTCGTAGTACTCCAGATGCTTCACGAGCCCGAGAGCCACCAGAGATCCCGATGCATGACGAGATTGACAGTGGCAGGAATAAGTGTCCGAGACGAGCCGTGAGAATGACTTACGAGGCGTGGAGCTGACGAGTACAAGGAAAGTACTCTAATCTAAGTACTAAGTAGCCTAGTCGGTACTTAAGAACGATCGCGATTATTGCGAGAACAATTATGTTCTATTTGGTAAACAATAGGGGTAAGAGAATTGATATGTTTCGCTCCAAGTTAGGTAGTTTACCTTTGTACAGGTAGCGCGCACATGAGACTTAGTCTAGGCATCTATCTTGTAATACTTAGGTCTACTTAGGTCTAAGCGCACGCAACCCCTGTCGTCCAACGACGTCTTGAAAACTTGGAAAGCTGAAAAGAAAAAGATTAGTAAGATTAGTGAAAACATAATTAAAGCGAAACAAATATAAGTCATAATGATCAATGAAATCGAATAAACAATCCAACGATGAGACATAAACAACCCAACGATGAGAAATAAAGAATCCAACGATGAGACGTTCGAATATAATACGAAATATTCGAATGGTCAAATGAAAATAAAATCTGAAAAAAGAAAAATGATTAAAACCTGAAAGGAAACGAATTAGTAAGAGGAAACTACAAAAATTAGTCTAAATGGAACGATGAACCCAACGATGTGACATGAACAACCCAGCAATGAGACATAAATAACCCAACGATGAGACACTCGAATATTATACGAAATATTCGAAATGTCAAATAAAAATAAATAGAAAGGAATAAATAACATCTGAAAAGAGAAAAAAATAATTAAAAACTGAAAAAAGAAAAAACAATTAATAAATAAATAATAAATAATAAGTAAATGAAAAGCTGGAATAAATAAATAATTAATACCTGAAAACAAAATAAAAATTATTAGTAAGTTATATAATGGGTGGTGGTGAGGGGGGGGGGGGCCAGCCTCAACCTCACTTAGGTCCCCCACCGCTCACGCACAACGAAAATTTAGATTTTATACTTCCGATGCCAAATCAGCAAACGATTCAAGCAGTGGAGCGTCGCCCTTTATATAGCCCCTGACTGGTCGAAGATCAACGGAAATTTTCGAATTTTACCGATTCTATTATTTATTATTTTTCCGCTCTGATAAGCTATAATTTATTAATTTTTTCACTTTTATTATAAATTTACGTTAAAATATTTTTATTTCCACTGTATTTTTAGCTAAAATAAAGTATTATACGAAAAGTAAAAACGTTAGAAGACTCATTCCCATCTTGAAAATTAGGTGATAGTTCATTTTCTTTATATTAAAAAGTCATTCGTATTTATGTATCGAATAACGAAACTGTTTGAAACTACAAATGATTCAGAAGAATTTTTTATAATTTCACAATTAATATAAAAAAGTACATGAAAATATATACATATTGTGTATGTAAAAAATGAGATCTAGTAGATGATGATTTGGATCTCGATTACGTGTGACTACGGCCCTGATGAAGCTAAATACCCCAACAATGGCGGCGTGGCGGCAAAATACCGCTTACGGTTTCCCCTTATATGCTTCACCATTTTGTGAATATTAAACATCATTCTAATATTATTCCTCGACGACTGCATTTTCAGAAAGGTCTACAGAATACGCTACTTTGCAGTAAATTCATATGAGATAAATACATTTTTGTAAAAATGCAAGAACATGCGTAGAAAGTGCGCTCGAAAGCTTATTTTTAAAATTCGAGGACCAATTACAATTATTCTGGAGAACGAATAATTATAATTATGGACATTAATAAACTCAAGATACCCTCGTCTAACTTGCAAGACAACAATGGACCTCCTGGCCTTCTCATTTTTTATGTAATACTTAATTTTTTCCCAAAAATCATACCTTTATGAAAAACTCACATAGTTTGGAAACTGAGTATAATAGAGCAATTTCGATTACAAATTCGAGTCCAAGAAAGTAAACTCTGCAAAATTCAGTTAACAAATATTATAGATTACAGAAAATGTTAAAATTTGTTGGACAGTGTTTTTAATTCCCATAATTAATTATTCCAGTAAGCAAATATCGATATACCATTGCGTTTGTACGAGTTCTCAGATGAATAATTGTTCATAAATGGTATGGGAAGGTTCGCGGGATTGGTGAGAGAAGAATAATCGAAAACCGTATTCGAGGAGCGATATTGATGCGAGCAGTGTTTAATCAGAAGCAATTAGTCAGCTCTAATTAATCGTTGCCTTTGGTAGAGTGCGCAGCATCCCTCGTGAAACTTTGTTCGTCTTTGTCTTAACTCGCTGAAATATCAACTCCAACACACATCGACATAGAGTGTCGTTAATCTCGTAATACGTCTACGAGCAATGGCACATCAATTACTGAAATACATTCCAGTATCTACATGAGTTCGATAAAAAGACAAGGGACACAGACGAATGGTACTCGAAACTCCCAATAGACAACGTATCAGCCTCCACGTTTCTGAGCATTAAACTTGGACGATTCAGACTACTCTGTATAGGACTAGGTGTGTACTTCCACCACACTCAGCCCTAAATCTAACGCCATCCTAAGAGCTATGCAATTCAGACCGAGTGTCATGAGCTGAGAGAAGTTTAAACGAGGCTTAATTGAATCCAGAGTTAGAGATAACAGTGATTTCATCTTGACTTAACTGAGACTTAAACTTACCCAAAGCCTAACCAAAACCTGTAAATGTAAACATATATATAGCGCTGACGTGGATTTGTCTGAGTCGAACCTAACTCAAACTTAATTGTAACCCTACCTGAAGAGTTAACGTTGATTTAATACCAGTTTAAGAAGTTTGATACAGACTCAATTGGAAGTTGATTCAGGCTTGACGTTTTGCTAATCCTAACTGAACTTGAATCTAGCCTAGGTTCCAACTAGACTTTAGCTCCAGCCTAATGTTCGATTAAGGTAAATCTAAATCTATCATAAAAAAGATTGGTCAAAATATTATTCTTGTTCTTCTAAGTATCTATGATTTGCTACATAAAAACTGAACTTAAATCTAATCTTTCTTACTCTGATCTAATATCTACCTAAGGCAAACCTAAATCTGTAAATTAGAAATTGGATACAATATTATGATCTTCTGTAGATCTAGAGTCTATTCCAAAAAGAAAACGTTAAGCCCAATTTGCTACATGAAAACTGAACTTAAATCTAATCGTTTTTGCTCTGATCTAATATTTGCCCAACAATAAGCCAGATTTAAATCTACAAAATAGAAATTGGACAAAGTATTATGATCTTCTGTTCATCTAGATTCCACTCCAAAAAAAAATGTTAAACCAAACTAATCTTAAATTTAGTCCAAATTTTATTAAATGAGAAGTCTGGTCTAACATTTACCTAGACCCAAATTGCTAAAATGGGAATTGGTCAAAATACTCTTACAGACCTACAGCTGTAGCTCTGACCAGCTACGTAAAAATCTCTAATTCAAACTGACCTTCACTTAATATTAGTCTAACTCAACTCTACATCCATAAGACGGAAATCGATCAGACAATATTGCTGATCTATATATCTATGATCTACAATCTAATCCAAACTATGGTTAAATCTGTCTCAGACCTAACTGAATCATACCTTCAGTTTAACGTCTACCTAACAATGAGTCAAGTCCAAACCTAGAAAATAGAAATTCGTCAGGATACTCTTGTAGATCTTCTACACCTCTACATCTACCGATTTGCTGCATAGAAAAACTCCTTCCTCGATGGCCTTGGAACCCGTCACCCTGACCCATGCAACCAATCCCTACCATGGAAGCTGGTAGCACGAACAATTACATGGACCAAGCCATGGGACAGGTGAATATAAAGGCCACCGTGCGACCGTGGTCAGCTACTAGTCCGTCTGCTTCCGACGACCGGTTCTGACTCGTAAATCGGCCAGTACTATCGGTTGATCGGTCCATGGTCACGTGCTCGGGTGAACCTTTCGCACTTGCCCAGTTTGCTCACTGATTTTTCGTCCTTGGTGCCGAGATTATAGACTCTTTGCTCGCGACCGTGAGTCCTAGTTCGAAGGACAGTTTGATCGAGGGAAAGAAAGAAAATGGTGGTCAGAGGAATTGCGCAACTAACGTTGATCTTGGCACTGGTTACCATGGCCTTGGCGAACGGTCTATGGCCTTCCTGCGCCGGAAAGACTATGCTAAGTGAGTAGAATTATTGCTTGAGGGTACTGACGCGTGGTAAGTTATTACAATGTCACTATTGTCGTAAGACTACTGAATACTTTATTGGGAAATTTGGAAAATTGGTAATTAGTGAATCCGAGTATCGGAAAATTTTCAAATTAAAAAGCCGAAAATTCGAAATTAAAAATAATATTAAAAATACGAAAATTGTGAAGTAGATGAAGATTGAAAATTAACGAATGGTAAATAAAAAATAACTATAATACAGGGAAACTAAATATGGTGAACGAGTAGAATAAAAAAATAATACAAAGAAATTATGGACCAGGGAAAGGAAAATGTTGGTAATTATACTGTATTCAATTAATAAATTATTGAAAAAAATGTAAAATTAATTAAAAAATTAGAAATCGAAAAATTAAAAATTTAGAAAATTGGGAGATAACGAATGAAAGAAAATGAATGAAAAAAAATTAGTGACAGAAAAGTCCAGAAAATATTATATTCGACTTCGATGAAAAGGAAAATCGGGAAACAATTTTCGATAGACACGTTCGTTCATCCGTTGAGATTTGAGTAAGGGCCGAGGAATTCGCTCCGGAAAATGACACCTCGATCTTTGCACTTGACTCTGTTAGACGGACGCTTTGTCCCTGGCGTGAGAATTTCTAGTTCAGATGATTCATCCCGTCGAGAGACGATTTGAATAATCTCTACAGCACCGTGTGATTTCCAGCTTGTCCATCTACCACTATGCGATAAAAACGTGACTGGACATAAGCAACGTATCTCTTTAACATCTGACTTACCAGTCCAGATAAAATGACTCGTTTTAAATATCTTACTTCTAAAATTACTGAAAATATATAGTTATTCCTACAACAATTCTACAAATTCTATTATATTCTGCAAATGTACTGTGAATAAATAATAATAATCGAAGTTTTACAATGAAAATAAATAACCGGAGATAAAATTTTAGGTAAAATAGAAAAAAGACGAACGACATTTTATTCTACGCTTAAGAATATACCAAAAAAGAGGAATACAATTTTTTCGTTCAATGCCTCGTTTTCAAGAAAATTATGGTTAAAACTCCGTGGAGTATGTTCGGTTATTCAAGTCTCAACGCTGTATATTGATCGTTTCTATTTATATTCATTGCTAATGATTCTACCTTCTACATTAGCATTAAGTAAATAGAATGACGAAATAATATAAACAGACAGTTTTTCGATATACTCGAAAGAAATTCGACTAAATATAGGTGCACCCACGAATTTTCAAACCCGATTTCCTCGGAAACGGAGCATCCAATAGAAAAACATTATTCTTCCTTTTCGACATATTTTTAGGTGTAGAATCAATCACCATACTTTGTTTCCTCATTATCCTAACATTACCCTCTATGTACTTGTGTATGTATCTTCGTTATACCACTTCAGTTATTCTGATTTATATATAGTATATTTATCTCCACGTTATATGTTAAAAATTCTAGCGTTAAACGATCAAATTAATTCCTGTCCATTCCCGTACTGCCCAAATGCATCTTCCTAGTTCGCCAAAAATATCAATTTACCCTGTTTCCTCGGCCATTTCTATCTGTTTGGACTTTTTATCTGCCGCCTTCTAATTGTTCCGTTCCTTCGGTATTTTAAATGTTCTGAAAGCACGGATCGTCCAATTACCGCGGAAAAAGCAGCTCCCTTTGTTTCCGCGCCGCGCCTGACGCAACGCTCGGTCTCCGTTGAATAACAGTTTCCAGCCGGCAATTAGTCAAGTTCGTTCAACGATCGTGTATCTCCGTCCCGCCGGTGAATATTCCCATTGAGAACGAGCACAATCGCGGAACTGTATCGAATTCGAAATTCCACTGAAATGCGGCACCCTCGTCGGCTTCGTGCTGATTTCCATGACTCGTTTTCGTTTCGATCACGTATTTCAAGTTTGGACGAAAAGGTTATGACGAAGAAGGCAGACGCAATGAAGAAAGGAATAAGCAAACGAGGAAAATCTAGCGGGAAAATCAAATTTTTCAATCCTAGGGAAATTCGTCTAGAGGAAAAATGAATACATGGGTAGATGTTGGAAGAAATTGAAATTCGAAGATGCTAATTGACGATTGAGAACATGCGATCTGACGTTCCCTTCGAGGAATGAAAATAACCGGGAAACTTTGAATGGAGGCCAGCAGCCTGGAACTATTTATTTAACAAGCTGGCAAGTCCATTCCCACGAAATCCATTTAACCAGGGAGCTACGACAAGAGAATGGAGTTAGCAGGTGTCGGCCGAATCGTTACGTACCGGCCAAGCCCTGCTCATTTCCGCTGCAAAAAGAAACCAACGCGCTCCCAGTGTTGCCAACTGATCCGCCATCGCGTCGTTTTTCATTTCGCTCGTTTCTCTCCCGCGTGAAAATTACCGCGATACATTGTTATAATTAAGTAAAGTTAAAATTTTGACAAAATCAAATATTAATTTCCGATTTCAAAATGTCGATTAACACATTGCAAATGGAAAAACTAGGAACTAACTCGGTAATATACATTTGTTACTATACAATAACAAAATATGAGTTTTATAATTGAGCAGTTTCTATCTAAATTTTTATACTCATTTTTGCAATTAAATATGTTTTATCGTAAGTATATCTGTTTAAATATTTATCTATGCGAACATTTTTTTATTTTTATATTTCCTACCGATAATTTTCAATTATATAGACGACGATTTAAATGTTTATATTTATATTTACAATATTGTTAATTATACAGATTTCCGTATAGCCTGAAATATAAACGCTTGATATAATTAAACGCATATTTGAATAAAAGGAAGAAGATTTAATTAATCCAAAATATTCCCGTGGTTATAACCTGGTCGTAAATACAGCGTTCCATATCGTTTTTTGGTTACTTTGGTTTTCCGCGTTGATGAAAACGCGGAAAATTGAAGGGAATGGAAACAAAGAAAATTATTTTAATTTCCGTGGTAACCTGATGTTGTACAGCGAACGTGGTGCGATTCTGAATTTGAATAATTCTACGTTGTTACGGCAAAACCGAGAGAGAATGTAACTCCTCTGTCGTAAAAAAGAGAACGTGTCTATTAAAAGATAAAATTAGCTGAATATTTCCGTGGTAAAAATTAATTCCAGCCATTTCGGCCGATATATTACCGTGCCGAATCGACTACGTGTATATTCCACAAATGTTCAAATTTTAAGCGAAGATTAACGCGAGTTTCTTTTACCTAACCTAACCTAACCTAAATTTAAAGTCAATTACGCAATCGTAATTAAAAATAGCCATGCGTAACTGCATACTGATGTTTCTCCTAAAAAATATTTTATCACGATATAAATAACGAATTCGAAAAATCATGGTATTAAAAGAAACATTTTTTTAACATTTTTGCAACAAACAGAAAACGATTATTTGTTACTATTATTTGAAAGAGAAGGAAGGAAACCTCTCTCGTGGCTTGCAATGTTTTTTGTTCGTCGAATTCAATGTAAACCACCGAACGAATTCAACGTAATTAAAAAGACAAGGGAGAAATAAACGTGGGAAAAGAGCGAGGGAAGAAGCTTCAGAGAAACCTCGTTGCTCTGCTTTTCGTCCAACCGTGTGCCGGCCTAGCTTTATGAATAATTCAGCTCGTACATTATTTACGGGCAGAAAATTGGAATCTATTACATTTCGATACGACGGTGAACATCGATTCGACGCTAAAAATATCGTATTCAGCTGTGCGAGCGGCCGCGAAATTCGATTACATTCACGAATTAAAGCAGTTGCCGGTTAATTACGGGAAATCCGTGCGCGCTGACGTCCGCGCGCACGCGCACAGGCGCCAAGATGTCTGGCGAACTGCTATTCAAAATAACTCGCTATAGAATTCTCGTTTCACGCGTGATCAGTGAACCGCGATATTTTAAAGAAATTTTACGAGCTTCCACTTATAAATTCGAAAATAAAAATTTATATTCGTACTTGGACTGTAAAACATAGGTTAGATTTGTATCTAACTGAAATATTGCTAAGACGGTAATCTAATATCCGTGTATCAAATATATCGAATATCTATGTAACAGTATAAAATTAAATTTGTTGGAGTCAACTGCTACGATACGGGGGTAAACCGTATTGCAAACCGAAAAAGTTACTAAAAATTCCCTAGGGCTTGAGCGAGGAAATTCGATTGCCAATTCGTGCCCTGGCGGAGGAGAAATTTGCATTCCTTGTCCTTGTCGGTGAGCTGAAAGTTATTAGGGGAAAGAATACGGCGGACGAAAGTTGTCTGTGGAAAGACAGAGGGAACGTCGTTAAAGCAGAATACTAGGGAAGTTTACTGGCGAGTTGGCCAATGCTATTGGCCATGGAAAGGGACGCGAAAAAAGGGGAACAAGGAGTTTCAGTACGGCGATAGACTTTCTTGAACTGGCAATGCGTTTGTATAATTGCACGATTCTTTTGAAACATCTTATACATGCTAAAATGCACTAAAACGATCGATCGAAGTAACAGAAATAGAACAGTTTGCCTCACTGTCTGGCCTTCAAGCATAGTTCACTGGAGAAATTTATTTTCCGTGTACTATTTTTGAATCAGTCTGTACATCTTCCAATTATTCTCTGAAAATTCAATTCACATTGGATCATCCATAGCATGCCTCCAAGGCTAGAGGAACTTAGCAGTCTCTATGTTCAAAATGATCAAGTTTCTAATTTAGTTAGTACCTGTTGTTACAGGAGTACTAAAATGTGGAAACTGCTAAAGGAATTACCACGTCTCCAGTGCTTTCAACTTCTTTTAATCATGAATTCTTAACCATCTCTAGGATCACATAACTTTAAAAATACAGTCACACCTAACACCAAACATTTCTATAGTTTCTAAGATGTTATTGATAATCTTGTTGCACTGTATAGCAATCTTAATTCCTCAAGTTACAATTTCTAGATCAAAGCAGGAGACTCCAATAAATTATAATTCTTTTTCTCAAAAATAAGTAAAATCTCTAGCACAAGAGGTTAATAATTCCCATTCTTCAAATCAGAATGAAAAGTAATTGACTAGAATTTAGTTCTTTAAAGAAAAGTATAGCTATGAAAGGTTAACTTGTTGCCTTCAACATGATGGATTTACTTGATCATGTGTGGATTTGTTTGTAGGATCCACGGGTTTATCCTGTGAGGAGAAACAGGCCATCTTAGACGAGCATAATCGGCTGAGACAACTAGTGGCTCTGGGGCAGATTCATGGGCAACCCAGTGCTGCCAACATGAGAGAAATGGTAAGAGGTAGCAATTACTTCATTTACCTGCCTTTACATCCTCTCGCAGGGTACTTTTGACGCCCTGTGACTGCTTCTATAGGCAACTATCACGGGAATTTATCTCCAGAACGTGCAAATGAGAGACAGGGAACTTTTTTCAGGTTTGGGACGACGAACTGGCCGCTGCAGCACAGAGGTGGACAAATCGCTGTGCCAAGGACCATGACGAAGGGAGGAATGTCCGTGAGTAGATTCGTAATTACAGCAACTGAAACATTATTCTTAAGTCACTTTGTAAACCAGTAATGCCTCAACGAAGTGCCATGAAAAACTTACCTATGAAAAGTATAGTTGATAGACGAAGTAGGTACGTGAAGAATATTACCATTCACCAGCAAACCGTTCTTGAAGTAGACCCTGTTTTCTGATTACAGCATTTGTGTAATCTATTCCTTATTTTATATTATTATATATTTTATATTTTATATTATTATATATAAAAAGGAAATAAACTCTAACCCCAACCAAAACGAACTTTTTCCACCTGTCTATGGTTAGAATTTCCCAATTTTCGGGCTTTTACAGTAATACATCGATTTAACACTAAACGTACCGGTATTTTACACACATCTATTCTTACCATAGGGGGTCAAATGACCCTTCGTGGTATATAAAGTATGCAAAGAATTTTTCTCAGTAAAAAATAAGTGAAAAGAAAAACGGAAAGCAAAAACTTAAACAATCAGATAATATAAGAATTTACAGGAAGTCAGATGAACGAAAGAAATAACAATGAATGTACGATTTGTAAGGTAAATTTTTAAAGGGGTCATTTGACCCCGCTTGGTATGTTTAGTGTTAACTCACCACATCCACCATGAAATCTACGCCAATGTCTGTTAATTATAATCTTATACGCAATGATATATACCACTATTTATCCCTTTTATAAAAATAAAAGAATAAAGTTACTCATTAGTGGATAAAGAGGTCCAAGATAATTAGTCTATTTTACAAATTTTACAATTAGTCTAACTTGTTCTTAAAACAGATGATAATACACGAAACTAGGCATCCGGTTTATTCGTATGTCTTAGCGTTGATTTACAATCTACGTAACGATCGATATCTTAATGAAACGAGAAATTACCGTGACAGAAAGCACGATCATTTATCTACCTATAGAGCCGTAGGAGACTATCCATCATGATTAACATCACTCTATGTACAGGTAGGTTCTCGGTGGGACAAAATAATTTTCGAAGATGGACAACAGTGCCGCCAGGACCATACGACGACCAACCAGATTGGCGACACACGATATCCGACTGGTTCAACGAAGTACAGCACTATCGAATCGGTTACAATGATGCGACAAATGGCCACTATACTCAGGTTAATCCTCCTTCTTCATGCATATGTCCTTTGATCATTGAAAGCCATCACGACTGATCGCCACATGACCTACAAATTGTAAATCCAGTCAAATATTAGCATCAAAATGGGGTGTCGGCATAATAATTTTAATCATTAAAAGAACCTATATTAACAGAGAGCCAACAAGAGGAAAAGTAAAAGATAGGAATTTGAGAAATTTGTGAAAAGAATTCTATCCCGACCGTTGACAAGGAATCTCAAATATGCAAAGGGATGACACAGGTTTTAAATTACTTCCAGATCGTTTGGGGTGACACATACCTTGTGGGCTGCGGCTATTCCTTCTATTACGACCCTGCCCTAGGCTATACCAAGAACTACGTATGCAACTATGGGCCCGGGTGAGAATTCCATTTTCGCGAATCTCCTCTGTATTCGATTCCATTACCAAACGAACGCACATAGGTCGCAAATTTTCTGCAAAGAAGATTCGAAGTTTAATGTTTTAGAGTTAGTGGTCTGCTTCGTTCGATTCTTACCACTTCAGTTCGAATCAATTTTTAATCGGCCTCGGAGGAGGGGACAGGAAAATCGGTGGCCTCGATATTTCTCCTAGCAAAGTCGAAGGTTTTCCAACGAAACGCGACACGTATTGAATCCTACCATAAATTTCCTTGCTCCTCGAGTATTTCCTGTCGATCGCCAGCTTATTACCGTCAACAAATTGAACACACCTATATATACCGCTTTTTTCTACTCTAAAAAGGCCTCCGTCCTCGACGAATCCTCGACAATTTTCACGAATCTGCGATCCCATCGAATTTTCAAAATATTTTCATAGGTTCCCGACATTCTCTAATTTTTTTCTGCCAAATCAAGAGTGATTGCATTTCTTTGTGATTTCTGAAAAATTTATATGTAAGAATACATAAAGGAAAAAAGATAATAAATTATACAGGTGAAATTTGAGAAGTAATTTATAGTTATTTGCGGAGTTGAATACAAAATAAAAATGTGAACATTTTTTTCGAGATAAGGTTGATACTATGAATTTGAATATTTGAAAAACTCAGTTTTGATAAAATATGGAGAAAATATTTATTTTAAGAGCATTTTTTAATTCTAGTTATTTCGCTCTAGTTTCTTAAAGAAAGCTTCACTTTATCACTAAAATGAACGACCGAGACAGTTCAAAACACTTTTAATTATTTTACTGAAAAAATGTAAAAAATTTCTCCAATGTTTTTTAAACGCTTTTTTATCTTCTTTTTTGGTACGTGTAATCCAAAACTCAAATTTGAAACCTTCGAATTAATAATCCTAATCACTGAGCTATCGCTATTCCTCATTTGCCAACACAATCAAGTAATGAGTTACTTCATCGATTTGCATATAGATGACATAATTTGAATAATTTTAAATTTTATAATTTTGACAACAATAGGAGACAAATATAGTATTTTGATTTATTTTTAAGAAATAAAAAAGGATTCTCAATTCCATGATTTATTTTTTAAATAGTTGGAACTATATTAATTTTTTTTTAAACTTTTCCGACTAATTTCTCGTTCGTTATGAATTTTCCATGCAAAAATAGAAGAAAAAGCGTCAAATTTACGAAAATCCGCTAAAATCATATTTATAGATAAATTTTTCTGCGATTATTTGACGATTCCTACCTTACCTTCTATGCAATTAATTGTTTCTCTTAGGCACATAATTTTATTCTTTTCCATTACAGCGGCAACTTGGTAGGCTTTCAACCGTATCAATCGGGCCAACCTGCCTGTGGCAGTTACGGAATGCTTTATTCAAATCGATATGCGGGTCTTTGTTGTGAGTTTCATGCAATAATTGCGTCCAATCATTAGGATTAATGTCTGCAAAGAAGCATTACGAATTCATTGTTCGAAAAAAGGACCTCTCTCCCTTTAACTTTGCATCTCTGTAATGAATTTACGTTGTTATTTTCAGCTGGAGAACACTACTACCATCTAGGAGCACTGTGCAGTTACGGTTGATAATTTTTATACATTGGACATAGAAAGGGGAAGTGGCTCTCTTCGCTTGTCAACGACTACGTGTCAAGATTGATCGATAGATTGTTATCTATCCGATCCGATTCATTCGTTCTAGTCTCTGAATATAGTCCGTAATTGTAGAAACCAAATCTGTATAAAAATCGTTAAAATACATACTAAATGTTCCACGTGCCTAACCTCTTTGCAATACGTATGCACTGTGAACTGCACGAACACTGAATTGAACGTATCTAACCAATTAAACTGAAATTCGATGATCTCGCTAGCAAATCTCTTTACCTATGTGTAGCAAAGTTAATTGGGTGTTCGTATTCGAAATATTTGAAAATACGAATCGTTGTTCGAATTTCAACGATATACGATACAAATATTACGAATCACGTGCAGTGCGATTTCACTGGTTTGACGAAATAATATCGTTCACGTGGAAAACAAATTTTTGAAAATATCAATACATTGTGAAATTATATAATGTAAAAGAACTGAGTAAAAAATATTTACAACTAATCCCAACTTAATAACTGAATCTATATTTATTTCATAAATGGAATGTTGCATTTAAATTCGATCGCTAGTTGTAAATAAAATTAAATCCAAATTAGGCCACTAGATGGCTCAGGCTATTACTAACTTCCGATTAGTGCCAGATCTATATTCGATTTCGATCGTGACATTAATCGCAAGTTAAATTGCTTGCGGTTCGATTCCCTATCTTTACATATTTTTTTTTTTTTTTTTCTTTTTCACGTACTTGAACGAAATATAATCTTTACGACAAGGATTTAAACATCTTCGGAATCTAACATTCTATGCGAATAAAACTTCTACACTATCCCAGCAAGCTGCACCTCGTTTGATACCTGCACTTTCTATGCATTTTGCATCGCGACTGTTACGTGACTGCAGCTGCAAACGCCGGATATAAATATTTACGCGCAAGAAAGATACGGCGCACGCTTTTTTTCGCAACCCATGCACGGCAATCATTCTTTTTCCAAGCTGTCTCGATTAATTCAATCCGTTTCGAGCCTTTTAATTGTCGGTAACATAGAGAAAATACGGACTGGTTTTTTTTACCAACAGATGCACCAATTTCGTCGAATACTTCCTGATCAACTTTATAGAAAGCTTTATAGAAAATTTGTTTAATCGTTTTAATTTCAGCTGATCCGATTTTCCTCGTGCAATATGAATGAGGAAATATATCTTCGCTATTTTTCATCTTGAAACAAATCTGAACGCTTCGAACGAAAGTAAAAGGGATTAAACAGGAAAGGCAACAAAATTTGTGTTCGAACAGGAAGACCAGCGACACGAATGTACATACAGACGTATCGCCTACGGAATTATCGTTTAATAAAACACAACGACGAGATAAAGTGCCGGATTATACGAACGCAAAAATCGCGCAATAAAGTTTAATTCCCTTATTCGGGGACAACGAAAACCCGGATATCCGAGCGGCAGGCTTCCTCTGCAATTCTCCTGGATTTATCGTCAGCTGCATTTGGCCTACCGCGTTGTGTCATCCGATCCAAAAAATGGGTCCGAGTCTCCAAAACCTAACCCTGATTCTCTATACTTTTCAACATGTTCAAAATACCAAAAACTTCCACGTTTTATTTATCTTTCCTCTCCAGCTAATACATCATCTTTATTGGTTAGAACCCTACTAAAGTGTAAATCAATTGTGTCAAAGGCCCAAAATCTTTGTCCTCCCTTTCCACATACATAATAATTTAACAAATCAACTTTGAGATAATTGAAAAAGACCGGGAAAGGTTAAATCATTCGGTTTCCTTAACATGAACCTAAACCTAACCTAAAACTTTTTAGGGACAATACTCCTACCTTTTGGAACAATGCAATAATTTATGAATATCTTCAGAAAAAGTTCATACTATGATTCAATCTATTAGTTTCCTTCAGGTTTCTTACAGCAAGAACAAGGTTGGATAAAATGTAGGTTAGGTATTTATCGATACATATAACCTGTATTCAATGTTAATATTTGCATCTTAACTTTCTTGTTCCCAGGTAAAATGTTCGAAACTGTAATTGTAATAATTGTTAAGATCTCGAAATTTCAATAACACGCCTAGTAACACAAGTCTCAAAATGTAAATGACGAAGCCGTATATGAAACCTTAACAAAACATCTTCGTGACTGTTCTGTGTTGTGTTTGAATTACAGCCGTTGCCACGCAAACTACTGGAATAACAGTTGGTACCCTGCAGGACAATGGCCTTGGGCATCGCTCTTCAGCATGAAAGCCAAACACTATTGTGAGATACAGTCGATCAGGAGTCGAAGTTGGGATTTTACAACAGGGTCAGTGTACCGGAGACGTATCATTGAGAGATTCCAATAAATGATCTCTGAATAATGATAGCCAGGATGGTGCTTCAGACTGTTCTCTTCGTGTCAGCTTAGTCAACGCTATTTCTACAGACTTCGTTATAAAAAAAGAGGGAATTATTAATATACCTATTAACGGTCCATTGGTTACGCAATTCGGAAGAAGCTGACTCACCTTTTGGAGAGAATCAAAAAGGTTAATGAGGAGAAGATAGCGCTGGAACCAGTTCGACAGGCTATGCTGTGAGAATGGGGAACGTGATGCAGGAAATTTATTGCCATTCGCGTGTATTTTTTCGCGTGTATTTGTTCGCAATGAATTCGCAATGAAACGAATTTTCGGTCGCTTTTAGTCTAAACTTATGCTAATTAGGCAAATGGATACGCGTTCGTTGATTCAGAGAAGTTATAGAACTGCAACTGGGGGATTCTCTGTCTCTCCCCCCAGCGAATATTCAAATCAGCCATAAACCAGCCGTATGTGACATGCATATACTTGCCATTTAAATTTTAATTCGACAGCAATTTAGTCTTTGGGAGCAATAGTTAGCGAAAAGGTGAAGAACAAGATCATTGACAATGAGTTTTTTATTCGATGCAAATAAAGAGGACAAAGAGCCTAGGAAAATAAAAATGCCAATTTATTTCGAAACGAATGGATTTGACTAGCCATGTGGACAATTAAATGAAACATTTACGATCGTATTTTGCAATATACGATTAAAGTCCACAAAAGTTTTCCTTATTAAGTAACGAAAAAAATCATACTTCAAAATAATATGGAGAATATTATGGAAGATAGTATTCTAAACAGAAAACGAGCGCTTTTTATCGGATGTATAAATTATTTATGCTTTCCTTAAACAAAATTCAAATTTTATTTATGAATCACGTAGTACAAACTTAATCATGAAAATAGCCTCTATTATTCACGTAAGTTACGCGAAATTATGTAAACGTAGACGGCATTTCTTTAAAACTGCCATACGATGGAAAAATATTCAAATTTCAAATAATTGTTAGAAACATGTTGATATAAAAAACATACCAAATTACTTTACGTCTAATATATCGATTTCTTAATTAATCATTACTACAGAGGAAAGACGATAAAAACTTCAATCTCATATACTGTATAATCAAAGCTCGACAATTGTATCGTAAACTTGAGTGTCGTTTAATCGATTTGCGATTGACACATTCCTGCCTTACGGATCAAATTTCCCTATAAATGTCCGTCTACTAGTGACATATGGCCACTCGACGAATTGGGTCGAATACGAATTGAGAAACGACAGCAAGGAATCGAGAAACGAATTAATTAAGACACGTGGAGTGAGTTCTACTTTCGTGGCGTCTTCTACTGAAAACACGAAGGATTCTGCTATTTTTTAAAAAGAAACTAGGTCTTTAAAAAACTCTTATTAAGTTTGGTTATGTTTCAGTTACACCTGCGAACAATCTTCAGATATCGATATTTCCGAAGTTTCGTTTCTAAGACTCTTGAAGAGTAGAAGGTTTCTGGAAAACGTGGTAAAAATTCGGATCAATTATGAAAAATGTATGTGAAGTAGAATTGTTGAAAATTACCATGGTAGAATGGGTCCTGGTGGAAATTTGGAACAGGATGGAGAAAGCTCGTAAAGTTTGCATGAGCCACGTTTAGCGAGGAAAATAACATGTTGGACATAATGTTCGGAATATTTTAGTATTTGGCTAAACGACGAGAAGTTTGGTGTTTTATGGGGTCGTTACTGTTGCGCGGTGTTGTAGACCATCGTAAAGAAACGAACGCAGCTAAGTAAATTTAAAATTACACCGGCTGACATTAGCGTTTCGTTGAAATTCTTTTTAACAGCTCTATTCTGCCGTGACGCACATAAATTAACCAAATGACCACGCTTGTTCTTCGGGAAAAATTACGTCACAAGAAAAAGGACAAGGACTCGACGCTGTATACAAAAATTGAATGACACGAGTATTTGGAATCGCCACAATGATTCGGTTCACGTTCATGGCAGCTATATGACGTATATAAATGACTGCAATATACATATATGATGTTTCTAACATTTATAGAATGAATATATTAAAGTTAGAAAGCTTCCTCATTTTTGTGTCGCATTTTTATTGTCGTGATTCCAAAACTGAAAAGCGAATTGGGTCACTGAACTAGCGTGTCTTTTAAATAATATTTATTCTGATTTTAAAATATATGCACAACAGCTTAGGTGTTATTCACAATTAGGTATTTCCTTTTCTTTCTTTTTCCATTTTTTTTTCTTTTTTTCTATTTTGATTTACAATTGTATGTATATATAATCTTTACAATTTGCAATGAGGTAAAACTAAGTTATCAAAGATATTACGACTGAGAATAGTTCGTAAGAATTGAATTCAAAATCGTCTAACTAATCGGCCTTCCGGTTTGCCGTCAAGAATCTGACAATGATCACAGATCAGTAGAACGTCGATTCGATTTGCGTCAACGGGGACAAGAAAGACCTAGTGTACAATATTTAATAGTTACATCATCTTATAATTATCATTTCAATAAATTATTTCTTATACGTTTTTTTTTCTTATTTTTTTTTTTACTTTTTTCTTTATATGATTCGACTGTGCATCGAATATGGGATATGAGACGGTCAATCATGGAAGCGAGCTTAATTACTTTGTTTCACTTGAATAATATACTTAATAATCCTTTGTTTTTAATTTAATTAGTTCCTTTAACCCTAATTCGCTTATTTAGTTTCCGTCTGGTATATCTTTTGTGCAATCGCCTAGCCACTTTTCCTGTGTTGTTAGGTCTTTCGCTAACAAATGATCATAACAGGCGAAACATCGAAGGCTATGAACAGAGATCGAAATTTCGATATACGCTATTTTTATTTTATCATTTGCTACTTAATTTTTTAATTATCTTTGATTCATTTCCATAGAAACCCTCGTTGACTTATATTCGTTAATTCTACGTAGCGATCGCAGCGCCATTTGTGATTCTTGTCCGCATTAGTTTGCACTTCGATCTCTGTTGAAAAGAACGTGAGTGTTACTGACAGAAACTAAGAACAGGTGCTCTTCAGAGACGCTCCTTGAACAAAAGCAAATTGTCTCCGTGTTTTAGGCCGGTTGAAGAAACCCTAAATTCAAATGCTAAAATAAAACAAGAGATTCTGATGAAGCAATGCAGTGTAGAAATGAAATACGAACAAAAAGGAAACATTTTATTCGCTTCTTAAGGCGCAAGTTTTATGGAGACTAGAAATTTTTCAATTCCTTCGAACTGCGTATCTGATTCCTCCTGTTCTCTTTTTTCCTTATTACAATCATGATAATCACGCCTGCAAGTGTGTGGGGAGAGAGGAGTGACAGTGCACATTCTTCTTTTTCTTTAAACTTGACAAATATTCATAGCAACATTAAAAATTGTGACGACAACAATAATAAGAGGTAAGTCGTACTAAGAACAATGATTAGAGATAGTGCAGAAATATCGAGAAAAACTGTTCAACAGTGTGATGATATAAAAACCAAAGTGTATTGAGCTGCGAATGCCCACGACGGATTCCTGAACTTTTATTATTATTTGTATACTCTCAAACGCCTGCGAATACTTTCCTACAATCATCGAATTCGACTCGAACCACGAAATAAATAAAACGATTTGCAAGAGAAAACAAGACTCAAAGTGCCAAAATATAAGTTAAAACTTCAAAAATATTCGTTTGGCACTTGGAACGTCTCTATCAATAAGATAACTGTCCCTTTTTATTTTTTTCATTCATTACGTTTGGGTCGGTAATCGATTACCAACCGTTGGGCTCTAGAGAGCAAAGTCAGTAATTTAGTGCTTATTAACTGAGTTAGTTACCGACCGCAGATAAATCAAGTCGAACATAACTAAACGTATTCCAGTATTCGCATTTGCCAACTGTGTGTGCTATATGCACAACGCGACATACACCGGCTAATTATATATTTTATACAATATATGTATGTATATACATCGAACTATATGATCGGGATAGTTGAGTTGATATTTCGGGCCAAAAAGCAACCTTCTAAACCATTTTTATATTTCAGTTGCCCCTTAATCATATTCCTTATCTTTTATATACACATCATTTTTTTCTTTCTTCCGTTTGCACGTGATTTCATTGATCACGAAGCACCATGTAGGACAGAAAAAATACATTTCTTTTGGTCTAAAAGCCAGCGTGTGCCTCTGATTCTCTGTTTTATGTTTTACTGTTCCTTTGTTCAGCATTACTAAAATATATCAATCGTTTAAACCGAATACCGACAAATTGTCAATTCATATGATAATACTTTAATGCTTTTTAACAATTATAGCCGCTTATTTTTATGACGTTATTTAGAACAGTTTCTGGAGTTTTACTTGGTCGATACTACATTAGATATAGTGTTAAATATATGTAGGTACATGAGTAGATTCAGTATTTGAGAGAAATCTAGACTAATTTTAAACTCCAGAACCTAATTTACACGACACACTGCTTTAAAGGAAGACTAAATTTGCCTTAAAACTGCATTGCAAAAGTAGACATTTTCAGAATGTATTTTTTTCTTTTTCTTTATAAATTGATATAACTGTTCTCTGTGCTTGAACCAAATAACATTTTTAAAATTACACTGCACAAAATGTCAACTCAAGTATTATATCGAGGTCTGACGACAAACCCTGTTTTCTTCACTTTTGTGGCAAATGGCCCGAGATTTCGACCAACGGCATACACACGAAAAGGTATATACAATAGCCGGTAATGAAAACTATTAGTGAATCGCATTTCGCTGACGATCGATCATTATAATGATCCTCGATGATTCTACAAAGTCACCTGAACTAGCTCTCATCATAAACAAGCTTAAAAAATCAATAAGTCATGAATTTACATAGCCCAAGACGCTTTGAAGCATTTATTCTCTGAGTAAAGCGATCGTTGAATAACAAATTTGAAAATATGATTATGATGACAGTTCAGGCGATTTTAAAAGATGGTATAAATATTACTTTCGCGAATCTGTGCCCGCACACTTCGGAATGTTCAATCGAAAGCGTTGAAAGCTCGACTCAAGCAATCTAATTTCCTCTATAGCAAATAGGAGCCGACGTGTATCGTTAAATAGCATATGTATATCGAACTGCGGGAGGGAACATTTCACGGCTTTTCAAACATCTTGACAAAAAACCAACGTGATATTGGTCGATCTGATCGTCCAAAATTATTAAAGATATCATTACGATCTATAATTCAGCATGAAAGTTTCATACATTAATTTGCAGAAGAATGAAGAAAAATTTTCTTTGTTCCTATTTGGACAAAACATGAGACATTATGTCTTTCAGATATTTCAGACGATCGATGAAATAATTTATATAGTTTCTTCGATCCACGGGTGCAATATAAAATAGCTCGAGACCCGCGAACGTAACTAGGGATGAAGGATCCAGTCCTCCTTTTATCGTTTTAAAACGCTCCTCAATCTCTCGATAAATCCTTACTTACAAATAGAACTCGATTATCTCTCATAGGTAACATGGTAAACGCGTGGAAGCCGCGCCGAATTGCTTCAAAAAGCGGACAAAAAATGTAGAAAAGAATCATGTTTCAGAACGTTTTGTAGTATCATATGAGACTCCATGTTCCAATTGAAGTATTGTCTGAAATAGGACAAAATACTACGCGATCCTTGACAGTATTAGAATCTCATATGATACAGAACGTGTGGCGTTTTTTACAAATTTTTGATAAACAGAGAAGTTATACAGTGGCCTCTGGTGTCACTGTGCGATAGAATGAACAAAATTCTCTATATTATTTGAACAATACTTCATCAAGACAGCAATCGTCAATCAAACGAAATAACTATACCGTTACATTATCGAACACTTGAAGAGAAATAAGTAAATGAATGGCAGTTGCGACTAGAAGAAGAGTAAAAAAACAGATTAACAACATAGTAGACTCAACGACTGTTCGATCAGTAAAACAGCGATCAATAAGTCGTATAGTTTTCCTAAAAATCTGTAAAAAGCTCTAGAAGCGATTTTAACAGGTCGAGAGAAACGGTAAGGCGACAGTATTTTGACAGTATCCTTAGAGAAACGGAAACCCTCTTATGGAGCTTCTACTTCTACTGCAGTCGAGTACAACTCTACAAAAATAGTGTGAACCTTTTAACACATGAATTTGTATAGGAATAAGTATGTATTCGAATTATATATAAAAAGTAGAAAAAGTAATATTGCTGTCACATTGATATAAAACAAGGTTTGAGGTGCTAACCGATTCTCTCTCGCTAAAGAGGTTAATCTGGAACAATATGACACAAATAATTTCACCCTTTGCACTACTTTTAAAAAGACATTTTTTGTAATTTCCACAAAAAATTCTGCAAAAGTAAAATAATAATAGAAAAAAAGATACATTATCACTGCATGTAATCTGAAGAATCTGTTGTTCACTGTTTTAAGTTAAGTGTAAAGGGTGAAATGTAAAGTGTGCGAAATTGTAGATAAAAAAAATATACAAAGAAGATAACTTCTGCTTTTTCGCATCGCCAATTCATTCGAGCTCCACACTTGCATAACGTAAGCGTAAAAAGACTGCACTCGTTTTAATGTCTTTAGGCTATACCGTCTGCGTTTAACTTGTCTAAACCCTGTGTGATTTTGCCACATTTTTCTACTATCTCGGTTTCGGTGAACAGATTATCACCCATTAGGTTGTGCGCGTTGACGCTGTTCATTCATCATCGGTTCTAGCTATATGTTCATCAAGCTAGACCTAAGAAATCTTCTATAGCCTCCAACATATTTCTAACACATTCCTTTACCCTTGTATGTTTACAAATATACAAGTATCAATTTGGAAGAATCTCTGTCTTCTCTATCCTCTTCTTTTTTGTTCGTATCTACTATCCTGCCACACTGCCGTTGACCGTAAGCATTCTACGTCCTATGATGTTCCTCCTCATCCCGATCAAGAAGGATAATATACCAGATCGATCAACGAGTTCTCATTTCGTTCGATTCATGGTTTTGTGGAGCTCGGTTTATTCGTTCTTCTCGAAATCTAAGTATTCAGCGACTTGATACGGAATTCTGTAATGATAGAGGGTCGCTACAAGCTTATGGATTTAACTAAAGTTGAATGGCGACGTTACTTTCTGATGCTGTCTGGAATAACTTGGAACCTCGGTAGGCACAAACCGAATTTCGTTTCAATGCCAGTGAAGATTGGTAGGGCAATTTGATAGCCTCCTATGTGGTCAGGGTTGGTTGACCGAATCTCCTCTGCCACTCCTGTTGTAGGTACCTTCTGCTCAGAACCCGTAGGTCGTCTGAAATCATCATTTTACACTGTTAAATGTGATAAAAAGAAGTATCGTATGAATGATAATGAATATCTGATTAGTTTCTGCTTCGATTAATTGGAAAATTGGAATAGTCAAACTGGATGTGTGGATAGGACCAGAATTTTAATTTCGGAAGGACATACTTACCGAAACAGTAAGGAATTCCAAATGATTCTTTTAATTCATATGCAAATTAGTCACAGGATATTTAAGCGAAATGAATAAATGGTTATGAAAATAACCATCAACATCACCAAAATGCAGACAGAATAAAGTATCTTCAAACATATACTTACGATCCTCCAAAATCAACTACGAAAAGCCTTTGCAAAAGCTCGTAAGTGAAGAGGGTGACGCCAAATTGAGGCGATGATCTACAGACTCGTGCTGTAAAATGGAAAAATAAAATAAATAAAATCACATGATCATCATTATATTTTCACACACTGGTTCATACTCTTTGTCTGAATAAAGATTTGAATCCCAAAGTGAATATGAATGTTATGACCTTCTATGAATGGACACATCTTCGGATTGAACATTCAAAATACTCGAAAAATCTCCTTCCTAGGACTAAAATTGACAACGAACGTGATTAGTATCATAAATCAACAAATAATGGGCAAGGATAAAAGAAAAATCAAGTTACGTAAGGATAAACCGTGCGATGCAATGCTTTTTTTTGACGACCACTCTGCATACAAAAAAATGAACCTAGTAAAAGACAGAGTTACGAGAAAAAAATGGCGAAAACGAAGAAACAAAAGAGTGGTGGTTGGCTGGGAAATTGAAAAAAAGTCACGATAACTGGCAGGCAGAGAGAAAAAGAAGTACTCACTTAGAAGTAAGTCGCCGGGTCATATTGGGGAGAAACAATGGTCGATAGATGCAGCAGGGCCGACGCCCGCGCATGCAATCGACCAAATCAAAAGTGTATTACTAACTTTTCCAGTGTATAACTTAAAATAAATGTCACGCCCCGCTATAACTACGAAACTTGCCCCAAATTTAACATTATTTCGAAATAGAATCTTATACCTGTAGCTCCTTTCCAAAACGCCCTTGCGCCTTCTTCCCTATAAATTTTCTTCGCACAGTCTAATAATCCACTATACGTTGTCTGACCTCGTCTAGCTACAACCTGAGAATTGAATTAATGTTGTAATTCATTTTAGAAAAATAGAGATCAATTAAGAATAACTGCTTAATATATATTGAATCATACTTGTAATCTGGTCTTTATTACATCTGCAGGAGTGACCAGCGCTGCTGCAGGAACACCAGCAATCGCGCCAGATACCAATAGCGACAGAAGAGTATTGTAACCTCCCTCATCCGCTAATCGTGCCTTTGTGTGAGCGTACATCGGAAAGTAAATTGCACTGAAAGGTACATCCCTCAAGAAACAGGCTTTTGCACCCTGAAATACAAAATTGTCAAATTATCTCATCACATCAAAAATTTTGAATTACCCTCACTGACTGTATACCTACTTTATACAAGCCAAATAAGCCTAACTCTTTGACGACAGTCCAAGCCCTAACTTTTGAACCCCCTGCTATTTCTCCAGCTACTTGCAGCCGAATCTTCACAATTTCCAAGGGATTCGTAAATATTACTTGAGAACCTCCCGCCTGAAAAAAAAAGACAAGATTCTTCAGTAAAATTAAAATCATGGGGACTAATCATCCATCGTGGGTGTGAAAGGTCAAAGATTGTTCATGGATCACTTACACAAGCACCGGATATAATTTCCCCATAAAGTGGCAAATTGCCATTTTTATCCATGAACTTATCTCTGACGAAATCGTTGACGGTAAGCTTAATGGCTTTTTCTGGCGCTACGCCCATCAACTGGGGTATCAAACCTCGATAAAGGCCGAAGAAGCCCTCGTGCCGGATCACCTGTCAAACGCATGACACCAACTTCATAATTAACAATGCAGGCAATGTATCGTGGCGAGACTTTTCGATTCCAACCTTTTTGAAGCAATCATAGCTGTTCCTGTACATCAGCTCCCCAACCAAAGAACCAGTCCTCTGATTTTGCATCCTCGTCTTCACCAAATCAATGGGATACACAGCTGTGGCACCAACAGCTAAAGAAAACATTCTCCATCTAAAGTTTTTACCTTCAATACTAACATTGTGTAACTCCATTCTCCATGAAGTTGATGTTTCAAGTTTAAGATATCAATTTCCCTAGTAATTTTGATTTATTAGCCACAAATTAGAAGAAGCAATAAATCTGGAATCCCAAAAATCTCCGTGGCTGTAAAAAAGATAAAAAATGGTAGCAATCAGTGAACTTACCTCCACCTATGGATCCCAAAACGAACCGATATCCACTCTCAAGTATCTGTACAATCACTCCGCGCTCGTCAGGACTCTGAAACAATAACACTAACTATTGAACAACGAAACTGACGATATCTGGTTAACGTAGAGTGTTTCCACTGGTAACTTTGGTGTCAGCGGATGGGCTTGAATCCTGTCGCCACACTTACCGATACCGCTTTGATTTCAGCTAAACGTTTCGTGATCTGCTTGAAATACTGCTCAGGAGTAATAGCCACAAGATCACTGTACACTATTTTCCTGAAACCCGAGAAAATTCCTGCTCAATACGTAGATCTATAACTATGGCAAAGATAAAGCAGTTAAAATAAAAGATTTGGGAAAAAAGAGGAAAAATATCGTTTCCAATATCAAAAAAAGAGAAATGAAAGAACGAAGTACGTCTAGAATGGTCATTATAATAAAAACGTCGATGGCACTGCTTCGAGCGATACTAAAAATGTAGATCCTGTCAATACAAGAGAGTTCCTTAAACATATCCTTAAGTCTGTTATAGCATCGGATAAAATCGTTAGTGCCCACGATGTGCAAACGTTTACAAATACCATCGTCCTAAGATAAATGTTGAATAAAGTAGGTGAAGACAATGTGTATATTATCGATTTATGTACATACAAATACAATAGCAAAAGGAATGGGAATTATCGCTCCAAAAAGCAGCAAACATGGAATTTAGAAAAGAGCATTTATTACGTATTTAGCTAAAAATGTGATACATATGTCGAAACTAATTTTTTCTAAATTCATTGTTTTCATGTTTAGAGGAATTCCCTTTGCTTTCGCGCGAGGCCAGCGTTTATGCGTTAGAACAAATTTATAGCACGTGATTATTCTTGTAATACAAAGACGCACCCAAGCCGCGAATCTGCCTCGTCATCTTCCGTAGATCTGATCCAGGCAGCGTAAACACGTAAACAAATACATTCAATCATAGAAACTTTAATTGGCGTTCGCAAAAGATCGGAAATTATTATGTGGGAAACTTTAGTTTTTTATTTGGTAGACATAGAAGGCGATTTTTAGAAATGAATCACTCAGCAGGAAATCTCCATCCTTCCTTTGCCAAGAGACACTAGACATTTTTTCGATGATGACGATGTTTGCTTGCTAGTGCAACGATAGTATGTTAATTGTATAACGATTCACATGTTTTCGTTTTCGTAGACCAAATCAGCGTAGGAAATCGTAAACACGTGTTTTACTCATTCCACATGACCTTTCTCTAAACAATCGATGCTGAGAAATATGACTCGCTCTCGGGATTGGAGATACTCACCCAGTATGATGTAGCAAATCGCATAGCTGGAAAAGAATGTCCACCTCCAACGGCGTGATTTGAGACATCATTTGTGCGGAATGAAGAAATCTCTCTGAAATAATGATCCGTGTCAATCATTTTACTAGGTATGTTTCATTTTTCAATTCTTATTGAACATAAACAATTAAAACACCTTTAGTAACTTCTTCATATCTATGGCCGTTCGTCGCGTTAAGATAAATACGTTTAATAAGCTCCATGTTGTTCAAGAGAGAATTAAACGCCATGAAATATGGAAAGCTAACTTTTCGTCCACCTTGTCCGGTGCTAGCTGCCTGTAATTATTATAAGTAATTAACTATTTTCTTCTGTATCGATAATAGAAAATACAAACACAGGAAGATAACTCACGGCAACCAAGTTGTCTCTCACATCCTTAGTCAACAAATGGTTTTTTATACTGAGCATAATATCCTGGAAGTCTAACGCCGAGATGAAACCCTGACCATCTTTGTCAAATTTCTTGAATGCTTCCGTTGCGTATTCTTCATGAAAATCCTAAAAGCAGGAAGTCCTAACATTCGAGGAATAATTTCCCCTATAAAGGACTTACATGCAAGAACTGACTGAACTCCGCGTAACTAATCAGTCGTTTCTTATCCTTCCCAAAATAAAGTTTAATAAAACTGCTGTCCATGTTGAAAGGCATCCTTTGATGAAGTTCCGTTTTCCGCATCACCTCAGCGAACTCGTCTAGGAAGCAAATACAAGTTACAAATTTGATTCTTAATTAGTTAATGATTACAAAAAGATTCCACATACCAAATGCAACCATTCCATTTCCATTAGTATCGAACAGCTGGAAGGCTGTCTTGTATAGGGCATCTGGCACACAGAGTAACCCTTCGAATGCTTGGAACTCAGCAAATGATATGAGCCTATAAAGAAATCATCTTTGTCAATTTAGAATTTCATTTATCAAATACAAGTTATAGAATTTAATTTCTTAAGCATGAAAACAGGAGAAAAGGTTTACAAACCCATCTTTACTGGTATCAACGATACCAGCGAGCAAATTAACAGAGTCAGGATTGTAATCTGGATTGGTATAGAGTCCAAGGTAACTTCGGACAAAATCGGACGAGGTCATGAACCTCTCGCCATTCTTCTCTTGTGAAGCGTACTGTAATTACCAAGAAACTTTGTGTATTTTCATCGATTGACCAATATTAATTTATGTCGCTACAATTTATCTCGATGACATAATCATGGAATCAGTTAATGCTTAAATATTGTAAGATAAGCAATCAAACTGGGTCGTTTACCTGATTAAATATTTCGTGGAGACGTTCATTATTAGCACGCTTTAAATATCCGGAACCCTAAAAATCAAACATAAAATTAATAATTCTTTAAGAAAAATACAATTTCTTTTGGATAAAGAATTTTCTTAAGATTAAATAGTAACAAAGTTGAAGTGTCCTACGAGTGACGTTGACCATCGACATTAACATTTCTAAGGGAGTAAAAATAGACAAAATAAAAATATGAGATATTATAAGAGGAATTTATAATCCAAAAGTGACCGCAGATTACAATAAAATTTACGAGCTCGAATACTCGTAATATACCGTGGCAAACTAATGAATAATATAACAACGCTATCGCAGTTCGAAGACAAAACGATTCTTAAATAACATCTATGAACCACGGGTTATCAACAATAGAATTTATCGTCGTGAGATACAAAAAGGGTTGTAATTGTTTATACACATTGTATAAATTGCAGATACAAGAATTTATAAATGCAAAATAAAAATGCAATGTACGATACATGAAATTTCATATATATTAAAACCAGATATAACCAGTTACGTTTCTACAGTGAGACAAATGAAATATAAATACAGTTCAATCGTTAATAATATGACCAACGCTAAATTAATACACGTTTGACATTATAATAGCCATTGAGTCGCGTAGTTTAAAGTTCAAAGGCAAAACTGAACTTAACAACGCCATTTTAAAAAGGTTCACGATCTCAGCTGCCTCGATTATTTAATAATTCCACGTAACTCATTTTTGTCCTTACAAACCACCGTAAGCAGTGTTCCATGCAAGACACAAAAAAAAGATAAAGTGGAGTGGCTAAGGACAGACCATGAACTCAGCAGAGAATTAAATTTGCATTGATTCTATTTGTACAATCTATCGAATAGTAGCTCTGAAACAAGAAGCATACGTGCTCATACATCCAATTATCACAGAGTCTTAGTACTAATTGGCATACTTGAAAATTGTCTTTCTATTCGATATATAACTCACGTTTGTGTGATTATTACGACTTTTATTTATGATTATACGAAAAAAGAGGAACGACTAGATAAAACGTGTTAAGACGATAAAATCTTCGGAGCACTCGTGTATGCAGGAAACAGATCACATGTTAATTGCGTGAATGGCAGACAACTTTTATTATATTCGCTTTTTCACGGTCATACGGCGCTCAAGAACTTGACGCAGAAAATAATGCAACAATGATATAACAGTCAGCCAGTGCCAGCTTTATGAAGACAATAATTTGATCGTGCCATCAAGGAGAAATGGGCTGCTCTCGAAAATAATCCTTCATTCTAGCTTCACGAAGACGATAATTTGATCATCCCACAAAGGAGAAATAGGTAGCTTTCGAAAATAATCCTTCATTCTAGTCGTTCTACGACGTTCATCAAACTATCCACCAGACACAATCTTTCAACGTTATTCTCTGGACAAGCACACTTAATCAATTTCATACAATGGATAATTTATTCGTGAAAAGGCCACGTTGAAAAACTCTTGTACCCATTGCAAGTTACAGAGTAATAGAAAGCAGAACTATGAAGAAATTAACTCATCCTCGGACACGTGAGCATATCAAAAAAGCCAAACCAGCATTCTTCACATACCATCACAAGGTCTCTGGTTTCTTCTCTCTTTGATTCCCTATGCAAAAATGTTTCGATAAAGGTGTGTAGCGTTTCTTCGAGATATCACGTGCTTCTCGAAATTAGCATACTGACGTTGAAGGTGACGTAAGAAACAATTAACAAACGATTTGGGAGAACGGTATCTACGTGACACACATGTGCGCTACGATGGAAGAATGATAGTAAGTAGAGACAGCGCCACACGCGCGCGAAAGTCACGATGATACTGATTCAGCCTTCCTGTGCGAAAAGAGAACGTTACCACAACCCCTTCCACTCTGGCTATCTCAAATGCTACCGCCTTTTCTTTCTGTTTTTAGCGATAGCTCGCGATCTCTCCGCCTCTCCAAAGTTCGTGAACAAATAATACTCGGCGGAGAACCTAAAAGTTTATGCAAATTGTAAAATTTCATACAAGCTTGAAGATTGAAATTAAAGTTTCCTTACTTGTTTCGATTTTCTGGAAACGTTTTGAACGATTTCAAAGATAACCAGAAGTGGGTCAAAGCCATCGCTGAAATCTTAACTCACGCGAGAGCTTCCTGGTTTTTTCTCCTATCCATATGTCCCCGATATCTCATTCCAATGTTCCTTTTTGTTCCTTCCAATTTCACACGCCCATCTTTCTCGAAAGCTTTCTTTACCTCCTACTTCTTTAATTATCATCTTTTCATACGAATTCTCGTTTTTCTCGTTACTAATTATTTCGTTACTTTTCTTACGATTTTTACGCGCCTCTTCGAACGAAGAACAAAACTGAGAGACGCCACTGGTGGTCTCGATCATTGTCAAGAGCAGGTATTTTTGCGTACACGCGAGCGCGTGCCTTGGCCAACCGGTTGACCAGTTGCTTCCATTTTGTAACGCCACGTGTTACATAATCCCACAAGCTGGTTCTCGACGTGGACGCACGTGTCATTTATCGACATTCGTTAATTAAACTAGTTAATTAAAACTTTTCTCTACGCTATAATCATATTAACAGCGCGGAGCGCAATGATAACTAGACATTACGCTATCCTAACATGGTACTCATTTGATAATTACTGCGTATATGATTGGCAATTAGGTCTAATTTTAACCTTGAAATCTCGATTGAAGATCGCTACATCGTGAAACAATTTTGAAGCTTCGCTCCGTAGCTATCTCTGATGTTCTTGCTCTTGATGGCGAACGATATTTATGAAGTTAGCTTAATTAAAAAGCGAATCAGGAACAGCCTTCCACTACAAAAGAGCCGTCTAATCAATAGATAATAGCAGAGTGACGCTCAGAGGATTTCCTGTCGCGTTTCATACACAATTTATATAACTTATATATCAAGATTCTCCAGTACTGGACATATGTTCGTTCGAGAGAAAATATAGGTTTCCCTCGTAGAACTAAAATTCTATCAGTGCAAAGAACTCGAGCTACAACCTGGTCGAGTTAATGGGAATCGTTTCCTCTGCGTTTGCTTGCTACTTGATTTAAAATGGCGCAATTTATTGCAACCTCCGCGGTTCATGGTTAGTCTAGAATAAGCCATAATAGATTCAGCTATAACAATTATAAAAAATTAACGGGAATAATCGAAAGAGAGCTCTGATCATCTCAAAGGAACTAAGAAAAATTTTATAATCAGAACGAAGGTCATTTGATCCTTATACTAGTCTGGCATGAAGTATATTTCTTACGTGAACTGAGATGTAGCTAACAAGTTCGTTGGTATTTTTTTAATTCCAGCTATGTCGAGCATGAACCTAATAATAATTTCTATGAAGTGCAGGATAAGAAGCGAAATATTTTAATGTCAAGGTCCGTCACCTGAATGTCATATCAAACACATGTGAGAGACACTCGGTTGTTAATAGAGCCAAGAAAACTGTGCCATCTAATTGGTTATATATCACAATAGTTATAACACTTGTAAGATTCATAACGTCATTTATAATTACATATTTCTCAGTTATGTCAGTTATGTCATTTAGTTAAAACTTTCTCTCCGTTTCTTCTAGCAGAATAAATAGTATATTCGGCAGTATAGATGGCTCACACTACTAATTCCCTTCACGAACCATCCTCATTTCCCATCTAATCGGTCAGATCTCTCAAACGAATGAAAAGGGCTTGGAAAAAAGAAAAGATGCAACAGGTGTGCTTCAAGGCGATACGGCCGGGTACAAAAGCGACAAGGGATAATCTGACGCGAGTGTGTGCGACTTAGAAATCTCATATTGGACCGGAATAGATACTTGGAAGGTATCTAATGCGGTTACGGCATTTCAGTCTGTCCTGTCCATCGATGGATTGACCTGTGGATAATCTCGACAACAACAAGATCACACGTTTACATAATGAACCGGCTAGTACAATTAATAGATCGTCATTCACGATGATTATTTCACTCGTTACTTTGTATTTTTAATCGCATCAGTTGCTGCGTATACGATGCTACTTAAGGTAATCTCGCACTCTAACGATCCAAAGATTACCAATGCAGCCTTTTTACTTTAGAAAGCAAGGATTTTGGAGTGACCTTGGTATCTCGATTCGTTCACGTACCTTTTAGGATAAATTGGCAATTCTTATTTTCAATTCATTCTACTTCTTCCAGAAATTAAAATAGCTCTGTCTTAGTGGCTTGAATTTCAATTTCAGCTTCTTACAATTCTATTAATTTTAATAGGTATGTTTTAACATCCTCGAGTTATAAATGAGAATTTTCTGCACTTCAGTATTATTAACTCCGTGAGTTCAGATACCAGAAATCAAAGCGGAAGATTGCCTCTAGCAGTATTATCTCCATACTAATATAAATTAGCATCGAAGTAAACACTTAGCAACAATACATATCACGTAAGGAAAGAAAGATCTGCGTGAAAATGAGCAGAGTCACACCTAACGGTCACTAATCAACCACATTCCAGCAAAATTACTTCACTGTGTCCACATGTTTACGGGGTTCCTTCGTTTCATTCTAGATATTTAGACCAATGCATCAGAATTTACAAAAGCACAACATCCTTGAAAAGATTCGAGAAAGATTTGCGGTACAATACTAATGCCCACTTGGAATTAATGATAATTTACTGTACAAAAGTGATTTAAAATAATTCTCTCTGACCTCTTCGTAATCTCCGCTGCTCTTCTGATACATTCTCCCTTCTTCACCCACTTTCTTAGTTCAACGTGCAAGTATTCAACACCTAAGAACTCAGGAAATCACCTCTTTTATGCGTACATATACACACAACAAAATGAGTGGTACACCTTTAGTCTCAGCTCACATGACTACGATATAGGGATCGCTGCCTGCAGAGAGGAACTACCTCGAGAACGATCCAATCGTGACTGACGTTGAGACGACGCCAACCTCGCGACGCAACTGGTGCAGGTTCACGCACAGCTGGGAGGTGGACACGAGGTCTCCGACCCGCTTACGAGGAAAACTGTTACAGGAAGGCCCGGATATATCGCACAGCTTACACACTCGCTGTTGTCACCTCCTGCTGATCTCAAACAAACATCTTATTTCAGTGTTAATTCCCATAGTTATTTTTTTTTTAATTTTTTTTTTTAACTTTTCTAAGTTTAGCTTTTTACCCGTTTTATCCTTATTCTTTTTAAGTCGACTTTGTACCTCCTTTTTTTCTATAAATAGCTTTGAACTGCTATCATTTTTTGCCCTTCCTTAGGTAAGCCTCTTATGCCAATAATTATGTAATAAACTTAATGGAGTATCAAGGAAGAGTTAGTGTCCTAGCTTCTAATTTCTAGTGGACTTATAGAGGAAAGAAAGTAACTAGGATAACTACGAACATATTCTGAAGAGAATCCTCGAGGGAAACGGCGACAAAATCAGATTCCTGGCGTGATCGACCTGATTCTGCAACTGAGATCTACGCGTCACTGAACAGGGAATGCAAAATCTCGCGGTTAACCTGGATTTATCCGCACATCCAAACCAAACTAGCAAACTAACCCAGACCTAGTCAGAGGAATGATCAACGTGGAATCAGAACTCATCCAGAATGAGGAGACTATACTAATAATCTCTCGTTACGTACACAATTTTGATAAAATAATGAACTAATTTAAATCTTAATCGCACAAAAATTCAAAAACTTTTTATATTATGCAACGATCTTGGCACGATTGATATCTCTTTTGAATATCTCGAAGATTAAGAAATTATTTTAATTTTTAATTTCGTCAAATTTGTAATTAAATAATAGATAAAATTTCTTATCAAATGCGCCTTTTTAATTTCCTATTAATGAAATACTTCTTAATAATTAACTCCCTATTAATAATTAAGATTTGAAATCGACCATAGATATAGGACAACATAGATGGGTTTCTGATAAGTATAAAATTTGAAGCCTTTCTATTTATCTGCAAAAGATTGAGGACCCAGAAGATAACTCAAGTTCGTCACTGAATCGAATTCACGGTGAAATTGTACTGTGGCTGGGATAATAATATCCATATCCAGGCCTCGCGTATGCGAAAGGAATTAGGTCAATGCGAAGGGAACAGCGATGAACTCAGGATGAATCTCGCAAAGTGAGAGAAACGCGTACCATTTCACTAGAAAACTGTCTCTGCGTTCAAAAAATGCCACGCTGTTTCCAGGTCAACGATGAGCCTTTTTAACGAGACACCGATATACAATTCATCAGATATAAACGATTCTTGCTTACTCCGTCATATTCTACTACTGACCACTATTCGTCTTAAGAGTCTCCTCTTTTCTTATTTTTATTTTTTTTGTTTTGTTTTGTTTTTAAATGTACTGATTTTTTTAATATATTGATGAAAAAATATATTAAATATATGACCAGTAGTTTGCTGTACATGACTGTACTAAAGGTAACATGTAACAATAGAAAGGACTAGCGATAGCAAGGGGTGAAATTAGGCCAGAAATCGAAGATGAAGAGGCGCCTTTAGGCACGTATCCAACGTAAACGTAATAATACGTGCGCCACTGTATCTTGCACTAGCAGCTACTCTTACACTGTTCCCTGGATAAATTTTGTGCCCTACATATTTATATATTGTTCGTTGAAGTATTGCAATTGAAAATATAAATTTCTTCGTCCTCTTTTCCAACAAAATCTTCTTTTCTTTTAAATTTAAAATTCTATCAAATTTGAGGTTAGAGCCACCCGATATTTTTCGAATCATCGAAATCACTAATGTTGGTATCAATTACTAACCAATAACTGGAATAGATATTTGGAATGACAAATAGAAACTTTTTCCAAAAATTAAGAATCCGTTTGTTTACCTGATTGGAAAAGGCAAAAAAGAAACGAAATTTATTGAGTGAAATAAATACCATTATTTTTGCGCAATACTGTTCGAGCATATTTATGCGAAGCTCGAAATTAGCATGGCCTGAAAATCTCGACTCACAGTATTTTCGGTTCATGAAGCGCTCTAGTAATATCTACGAACTTTAGCAAATCTCTAAAGGCTACTGACACCAGGACCACATCACTAAATCAAAAATATTTCGCGATAATAAAAATTTTGACCAAAATACCTCCATTAATTCTATATATATAAATGACAGAATATAGGCTATTTATTAAATTCGGTAGTTTCTTATCTACAGTGATAACACTATTCTAATTGCAAATTTGCAATGTCATTTAAAGCAGGAATTACCTAAATGACTGCTGCTACGACAGTTCTTATCGAAATATTCAAGCTCATTATATTATTGTTGATATGATCAAGAATGGAATATTGATCGTGGATTATCACGGGTAGTATGATAATCGTCGATCGAGTTACATCGAAACGAAAACGCAAGTTGATACAACTAACCGTGTTACGGAGAAAGAAAACGGTTCGTTTATCACGTCGTGACCGGATATTATGTATATATTTTATCTTGAGAAAAATCTCGACTTGCGCAGAAAACAGTTACGCCAATGCGGTGTATTCTTCGCGACAAATCTTCCTGGAACCAATAATTGATCCAACAAAACTAGCCACGATTATTCAACGACTTTGTAGGTTATGTGATAAATAACTTCGGCTAAATCGACGATTACAGTCGATTATCTTGAATATTTGCCGCAAGCACAACATAACCTTGAAGTAATCAAAATGACGTGTACGCAATGATTTACTTAATATTTACCAAGCTTTATCGAGACTCGGAACTATCGATGCATCGATAAATACATACGCCTCATATTTTCGAAAATGATATTTTATATTCCGTAACGAGTTACTCGAGAAATGCTTTTAGATAGAAAAACGACGACGAAGGTCAGGGTTTAAATCGCTTGCGAAATAATGCGACTTTAACCTTCTCTGGCCGACTTTTTAGAGATTCAAGCTTAAAGTTCCTGCATTACCTACAGGAAGTAAACCTTGATTTCTTTTCCGGCTCTTTTTTGATATTAATTATCCAAAGAAACGATAATAACAATGAAAAAGGAGTTTTCAACAAGTCTGAGAAATAGCATAAGAAACTGATGTAAATTATTAGTCTACTAATTAAATTATCGTGTAGCGTTGTATCACTCTGTGCCAACTTTTTTTGCAATGTAAATAGACAATAAATATGATAAAAAAAAGCTTTGCTGGGAGCTCGATAAGCGAACTAGTCAACGAAACAGATTCCAAATAATCAGCGTAACTTGAGAACGTACGGCGAAAAAAATTACAAAGAGAAGAAAGAAACAAGCTAATGCGATAAATACATTGAAGAACGTTATATTACGACACAAAATCTGTTTTTCTCTTCGTGTTGTTATTATTATTATTATTTTTAAGATTTATGAATGTTCAAAAGATTAGAAACTGTTTATCAGCAGCCTGACACGTATAATTTCCAAAATATTTGTTACGAAATATTTATTTTCCTCTGGTACCTCCTAATCGCCAATTAACTGTCTTCCTGTATTCGTACGGCAAACACTGCTAACCCAACCTGAAAATTGAATTCGTTAAATCGTTGAAGCGATACTAGTTTCTACTGATTCTTAATACGCTTTAAATCACGTGAACTACCAATGATATACATTATAATAAAAAAATTAAATGAGACGGAAATATAACCATTTTTGACGAATATTTCCTTGTACAAAAAATCTTAATACAGGAGTTGTTTCTATCATTTGTAAAAGTATACATAATTAAACCCAATTACAGTAAACATACCTATCGACCTTGTAAAACACAGAATTCGTTCCAAATACATAAATGCATAGTCACTAATATCACTCAAAAGCAAGCAGAAAAATTATTTACCGGTAAACTACTCAACGTGATAGCATATCTTGAATGTTGAATAATTAAAAATTATCGATATGAAACAATGTATCGACAAATCTAAATATTCAATACATTTGTATATGAAAATATGAATATAGCTAGATGATGCACTAGTAAGGAAAAAATGAAAACGTTGAAAATATATTTGAATTCCATTTTCCATAACAGGAGTAAATATTTCTTGCAAAATCTTCGATATCTGAAAATGGGATTTGAAATTACGACACGGAAGGATTACCGCGCTCATCACGGTCAAGGTGATCGTAAATAGCTATATACTGTTCAATTTGGATCGAACGTCTGCATTCCCCACACTCGTTCCTGCGTACTCTAGAAATAGGACACTTTCAATGATTTTCGCTATTACTTATGTAAGTTATGCGCCAAAATTCTTACACACCAGGGTTAATGTACACATGAATTTCTTTCTCATTTTTCTGCTTCAGACGTGAGGGATACGATCATTTACCGCAGTGCGGTCTAAAGACACTTGAGACCTTGTTCCATAACAGCTACAAAACTACGAAAAGTTTCATCGTTGCTAAACTGTAGTTGTACATTATACTAAATGCTCACGATAAAGCAAATATAATTTTATTATTACTGCCTAAACGATACTTACTATGCATATGGTACCAACATTTGTAATATTCTTTCGCTTACGTGTCCTCTACTCATAGCTACAGGCAATCCCTCCTTCCCTAATAGATAGAAGGATGTTAATAATCATCATCATTTAATATCATTACGTGGAACGAAGGGCGGGGTGCAAAATCGCGTTCTACGCGTTTGGAAGAAATGGGAGCATGTAAATCCACGGGAAAGAGGAATCGCGGCGAAGATATCGAGATCGAGAGTAAGCGATGCGGCTGAAGTCCCGGTGACCTCGAAAGTGAGACAGCCTCGCGGCCGGAGACTCCAGGATCGATATACGCACCGCCATTCGTGGACACATCCAACTCGATGCAGATGTCACTTGGCCAGTACCGCTTCCGTCTCTACGGCAGAGCTCGATAAAAAGCGAGCCAATTGGAAATCAGTCATTCGAGGCACAAAAAGTAATGAATACTAAAAAAAAATGAATTTTGAAAAAATGATCTACCTCGAGCAACATAGCCGGAGAATAACCATTACTGAGACGACGTACGCGGTACGGCGCACCGCGTAACCAGGTAAACAGATCGGTAAAACTTACCCACCTCTTGGCAGGATGCTCGAACGAGAAG